GCGGGGCTTTATCTGCAGATCAAATCTCATCACACACCAGAGGACACACTCAGGTGAGAAACCTTATGTGTGCCTGGAGTGTGGGCGGGGCTTTAACTGGAAATCATGCCTCCTTAAACACCAGAGGACACACTCAGGGGAGAAGCCTTACATGTGCAAGGAGTGTGGGCGAGGCTTTTACTGCAAATCAGATATCATCAGACACCAGAGGACACATTCAGGGGAGAAACCTTATGTGTGCCTGGAGTGTGGGCGAGGCTTTAACCAGAAGTCACGTCTCCTCATGCACCAGAGGACACACTCAGGAGAGAAGCCTTATGTGTGCAAGGAGTGTGGTCGAGAGTTTAAATGGAATTCAGACCTCCTTATGCACCGCAGGACACACTCAGGGGAGAAGCCACATGTGTGCAAGGAGTGTGGGGAAGGATTTAGCATCAAATCAAATCTCATCAGACACCAGAAGACACACTCAGGTGAGAAACCTTACGTGTGCCTGGAGTGTGGCTGTGGCTTTAACCGGAAATCCCGCCTCCGTATACACCAGAAGACACACCTGGGGTAGAAGTGGCCAAAGCTTTAGTCAGAAGTCAGGCCTCATCACACATTAGTAGATACACTCATATAAGAAGTCTTATGTTTGCAGTGATTCCGGCCGAGGCTTTAACTGGAAACCGAGCATGCTTAGGCACTGCAGGACAGACTCCAGAGAGAAGCCACATGTACAAAGATTGTGTTGTTGAACGCTGTAAGGGCAAGTCAGATCTCATCAGACACCAGAGGATACACTCAAGTGAGAAACCTTACTTGCCTCTGGAGTGTAGGCGAGGCTTTAGCCAAGTCAGGCTTCTTTCTCCATCAGGGGACACACTCTGGAGAAGCCACATGTGTGCAGGGAATGTGGGTAAGGCTTTAGCCATAAGCAAACCCTCATACATCAGCGGGCTCACTTGGATGAAGCCCTATGTTTGCAATTAGTGTGGCTGAGACTTTAAATCAGTCCTCCTCTTACACCAGAGCACACAGAATAGAAGCTTTATGTGTGCGGGGAGAATGGGCAAGAATTGGGAGAAAGGCACACGTCAGTATACATCAGAGAATAGGTTTTTGTTTTGGGTGGGGGAAATCGTTATGTGGGGAGGGAGAATGGGAGGTGCTTTAGCAATAAGTTATACTTCCTCTTGCACCAGAAGACACTCTGGGGGAGAGCTTTGTGGGCAGGGTCTGTGGGTGGAACTTCATTCTAGTGTCCCTCCTCAACTCACTTAGGACAAAATGTTGCCACCACAAATCACTACTTCACACACCTGTGAGGGAGTTTTGGGCGAAGTCTCCTGACCGCCTATACTCTGTATGAGGTGACGGTGTCAGTAGTAACTAAATAGATGCATTTTCTACATTCTGTAACCAAATGGAATAGAAAATTAGAAGGTTTACTTAAGTAATCCAAGAATGGTTGACTTGTTTTATTTTGATACACCAATTCTTTCCCATGCTTTGTTGTCTCTTCATTATAGTAAAATTTTTCTTTAATAAACCATAACTCAGGCTGTGTTACTCATCTGTCCTGAATGGCACGTGGAAATCAAATTCACACTTAAAAGTTTTCTTGAATGAATTCAACCCTTAAGAAAGAAAGAAAAGTCCTAAATTCATTTATTGGGGAATCTGGTCCTTTGCTTGGGGAGAGGAGTGATCTAGGTTTTGGAGACAGATGCCAGGTGAAGGGACTGAATGTCCCACATCTCCAGGGACTCAGTTACCTCTTCTGATTATTTTTTCTTTTACTACCTTCTGTTGGCTTTCGCTCCGTTCCCTGGTTTTCCTTTGTATTTTTACTCTGGTCTGCCGAATCTTTCTCTATCCATCAAAGCATTCTTGTTCCCTAATGCTCAGTTCCTAGTCTTAGCTCCAAGGTCCTTTTAACCACCCACTGCCCCTCACCTTGAAGTCAGCTTTCCAGAGCCTTCCAGATTCCGGGGTCAGATCCTTTTAAGTATGCCCAAACTGAAAAGACAGTCTCCTTAACAAATGGTGCTGGCATAACTGGATATCCATCTGCAAAAAACTGAAGCAAGACCCATACCTCACACCATGCACAAAAACTAACTCAAAATGGATCAAAGACTTAAATATAAGATCAAAAACGGTAAAGATCATGGACGAAAAAATAGGGACGACGCTAGGAGCCCTAATACATGGCATAAACAGAATACGAACCATAAGTAACAATGCACAAGCACCAGAAGAGAGACAGATAACTGGGAGCTCCTAAAAATCAAACACTTAATGTTCATCAAAATACTTCACCAAAAGCATAAAAAGACAACCTACAGACTGGGAAAAAATATTTTGGCTATGACGAATCAGATCAGGGTGTAATCTCTCAAATCTGTAAGATACTGCAAAACCTCAACAACAAAAAGACATAACCCAGTTAAAAAACGGGCAAAGTATATGAACAGGCACTTCACCATAGACAATATTCAGGTGGCTAACAGACATATGAAGAAATGCTCACGATCATTAGCTGTTAGAGAAATGCAGATCAGAACTACAAATAGGTATCATCTCACCCCACCAAGGCTAGCATTAATCCAAAAAACACAATAATACTGGAGAGGTTGTGGAGAGACTGGAACACTTACACACTGTTGGTGGGAATGTAAAATGGTACAACCACTTTGGAAATTGATTTGGCGCTTCCTTAAAAAGCTAGAAATAGAAGTACCGTAGGATCCAGCAATTCCACTCCTTGGACTATACCCTAGAGAAATGAGACGTCACATGAATAGATATATGCACACCCATGTTCATTGCAGCACTGTTCACA